CCCACAGACTCGTGATGTTCCCAACCTCGGCCAGAGAAGCTTCTTCCTCAAGTGCGTCGCGGATACTGCTGCCACACTATCGTCCAGTGCTGACAAGGGACTGGAGTGCTCAGCGGTAAACAAGACATTACCATCAACCCCCTTCCAAGCTCAGCGACGCTCGCAGAGGGGACAGAAGAACTAAGAGCTGAAGGATGGAAGGAGCGGCTGTAAAATTCGTGGCCTCATGGCACAGCTACTGCACACATAATTCACAGCAGCTGTGGTCACTTAGAAAAAGATCTGCCTACGATCAAGGCAGTTAAAGGTTCAGTAAGGTCAGGGAGGGGCCTCAAGTCTCCGCGCTATTAGCAGTTGCTGGCTTCAGGGGAAGGAGTCACCTTTCTCCAGGCCACTGGATGGTTCTCTATACCCAAGTGGATGAATCTACAACATTCCTGCATGTCAACCTTAACTGGACCCAGTGGATTCAAAAAATAAACACATCAGAGAAGGCCTTTAATTTCAGCACTCAGGAGGAAGAGACAGGCAGATCTGTACAATTTCAAGGCCAGCCTGGTCTGCAAAGTGAGTGCAGGACAACCAGAGCTACACAGAGAAACCCTGCCTCATAAAAAAATAAAAATTAAACACACACACACAAAGTATTCTAAAATGGCATGAAGTTTGAGGGACACGAGGATCCTAGGGGAAACTGGAAGTGGGGAAGGTGGAGAGGATTTAATCAAGATATACTGTATAAATTTTTCAAATAATGTTTAAAGAGAACAATAACAAACCCTCAGGCTGAGAACAGGGCCCACCTGTAACCCCAGCATTTAAGGGCAGAACCAGGAGGCCCACCAACCTGAGGACAGCCTGGGTTCCATTACAGATAGCATACCGCCCGTCTCAAAGGGCAACGCCCACAGATCTCAAGCTGCACTAGCCACATTCAAAGCTGGTAGCCACACATGGCTGGTGGCTACCACACTGGACAGCTCAGACACAAGACATCTACACTGCCCGGGAAAGCTCCATCGGATAAGCTTGGTCTAGAATCTTCTGTTGCTACTACCTGTTGCTACCACTCAGCAGCTGAAGGGTGGGCATGGCAGCATATGCCTGCAATCTGGGCACTGTAAAGGCTGGGGCAAGAGGATCTGGAATATGAGCCTGAGCTAGAAAATTCTAGGTGAGCCAGAATGCGCATCAACACTTGGTCTTAAAAAAAAAAAAAAAAAAAAAAAAAAAAAGAGCAGCTTTTAAAATCATAGACCTAAAAAAATGTCCCTTTTTTTGGCTTTGGTTGTGATTCAGAGCATAAAGCTTTGTGGGTTTTTTTGTTGTTGTTGTTGTTTGTTTTTAATCTTTCTACTATATTTTTCGGATTTTTAAGTCCGTAAGTGTATACAATTTTCTCTAATTTTTAAACCCTTTCCTCCTCCCATTTTGACATTTGCACTTGGAGAACACTTGAATTCCACAGGTTTTGGGTGTCCACCCCAGAAAGTGGGAATTTGATTTCTTTTCCCTTCCGAACTAGAAGAAAATTTTTATGAAGTATTTTGTCTAGGAGAGTTTAATAACAGTGTTACCAACAAGGTTGTGTCTGTAAGGGTGATTCATTTTCTCTGATCCTTTGTTACTCAAAAGTAAAGTACTAGGAGCCCTAAGAAATGCTCTGTTCTTGTACATTATACTGATTAAGTCAGGATTAATTTGATTTCCGAGCTAAGAACAGTGGTAAAAACTTGTTTTCAGAAATGCATTTTGGAAGAGAAAATACTGTAAAACAAGTAGTGAATGTTTCTTCAGTTTCTTGTTCAGCCAATGAGGAAAGGGCATTGCCTTTCTTTTTACCATTAATCACTTCTCAATAAACGTGAGATCCTGTTGAGCATAAAAAAAAAAAAAAAAACAGGTAGGGGGGCACTGTGAAACATGATCTCAGTACACTGTATGAAAAGAAAATGATTTAAAATTTCTTTAAAGCCAGAGCTGGGTGTGGTGGGTACAACTTTAGTTCCAGCTTAGAGACAGGGGTAGGCAGATCTCTGTGCGTCTGAGGCTAGCCTGAACTTGGAAGAAAAACCAAGAAAAACATAGAAAAACCCTCTCAAAAAGATGAGCGACAGACAGACAGACAGACAGAGAATAAAGCCAGGCATGATGGCAAATGTCTGAAATCCCAGCATTTGAGAAGCAGGAAGATCAGGGGTTCAAGACCACCCCCCTCCAAAAAAGGAAGGAGGGTGAAAGAAGGAGGGGGAGAAGAGGGAAAGGGCTGAGGAAGTAGTTGAGCAGATAGAGTGCTTGCCTGGCATGTCCTGAGTTCGATCCCCAGCACCACATAAAATCTGGTGAGGCACAGTGAGGCACCATTCTAACCCTAACACTGAGATAGAGGCAGGAAGAGCAGACGCTCAAGGGCATTCTCAGCTATATAAAGAGTTAGGTGGCCAGCCTGGGATACATAAGACGCTGCCAAAGAGAAGAGAAGAGAAGGGGAGGGGAGGGAAGAGAAGAAAACTTTAAATACACACACCAATAAGAGCTGGACACTGCCCCCTCCTGCCATTCTTCCAAACATCCTCTCAAATAAGAAAGAAGAGGGACAACAACAGTGGACCGAGCCAACAGGAAAACAGATTGAATCAGCTACAATGACCTTTCCCTAGGCTGCCTCACTTCTGCTCCACTGCCCAGCCTACCTGCCCAGCCAATGAGTTCAGGGACTGAAATCAGCTGTGAAGGATTTGATGGCGGGGGGGGGGGGGGGGACAGCACACTAACAGGAGCCTGCCCTGCCCCCACCCTGTTGCTGCAGCCTTTCTGTATCTGCTTGCTCCCACTGCCAACCTTCCTACCCTGCCCCCACCCTGTTGCTGCGGCCTTTCTGTATCTGCTTGCTCCCACTGCAACCTTCCTAGGTGCCCACATTTCACTCCTACAGCCTCCTGCTCACCTCTATTTATGCCCTTTCCATTCCTAACCAGAGCGTCTGCCTGCAGATTCCGTCTTCTCTGCCCTACTGAACGAGACAGAAGATCAAACAAAACCTCAGAAAATACTGAGATTCTTCACCAGGGCGCTGCCAATCCCGTTCCCACCCCCAGCTCACCCTTTTTCCTCCTCCAATCTTAGGGCTCTGTCCTCACCCGTAACCTAAGGCCGACATTCCCATCGCCCTTTTGTGCTGTGTCCAGTGTGCAGTGCTTTCACAAGCGTGTGTTGCCACAACACCCCGATGCAGTGGCATCTACTGGCAGCGTACACAGAGGGCATGGTGCAGTTCCCTGCCCGAGGCTACACAACTGGAAAGCGGCAGAACAAGGTAGCAGTATGAAGAGCCCAACACTTAACCAGGCCTGTTTTCACTGGAATTTTACTTCAAAACCCTTTAACAAGGAATCACCAGTAAGATTTTTCTCTTCTTAAGAGATAGTCTCACTATGTAGCTCTAGCTGGCTTGGGACTCACAGAGCTCAAACTGCCTCTGCCTCCTAAGTGCTGGGATCAAAAGCATGCATCACCACACCAGGCCCTGGTTGGATTTTTGGTTTTTGTTTTTCACTTTTTTTTTTTTTTTTGAGGCAGGCTCTCACATCCCGATCTTCCAGCCTCTACCTCCCAAGTGCTGGAATTACAGTCATGAGTCACCACACCCAGATAAACAAACCCAAAGGGCTGGGAGTCAGATTCTGGACCTAGCGCTCACTGGGCAAGCATTCTGTCTCTGAGGTAAATGACCAGACCTCGACAGCAATTTTGGAAGTGTTATCCTCGGCAGCTATGGATCAAAAGGGAGTCTTAGTTTTCTCAAGCGTTTTCAAGAAAAGTGGGCATCTGGGCCCGGTGGCTCACACCGTGATCCCAGGACTTGGAAGACTGAGACAGGACCGTCTCCAGTTCGATGACATCTACGTGAGGTAAAGGCCCGCCTGGGCTACTGAGTGAGATTCTGTCTCAAAAAAATAACGTAGGCAAAAAATCTCGTCGGGACTTCTCACTCTCTTCTGTCTCCCTTCGTGATCATCTCCTGCTAACAGAAGTCATGGAAAACTCCCTTGCCTTGACTTTTGGTCAGGGGACATGCTAATCAAACCAGTTTCCTGTTCAACTCGCTTTGCATTTGGATTTTAAGTAAAGGAATAAAGAAATGCAGAACCCTATGAAAACCTGATCTGCCCTTCCAACCTCATTCCAGACTTGTCTCCTTCCATCGAGACCAAGGAGCTGCCTTGCTTTTCCTCAGAAGGGATTCTTCCCTTGAATTTCTCTCCAAGAAGTCTCCCGGTCCTTTTCCCCGTGAGTCTGCTCTTCCTCCACAGCCCGCGGTGAGGGCCCCACACACTGTAAGGATAACCTCCACGCCTCTCTTTCTCCTCAGGAAAGATCCCGAGGGGCGCAGGTACTCACGGATCTAGCCAAGCCGCGGGCCCCAGGACGCCCCAGCAGCAGGAGTGCCGCCTGGCCCAGGCCACGGCTCGGCCTCCAGAACTTGGCCACGGACATCACTACCGCCATCTTGGCTAATAACCACGCCTCCTTCCTCAAGGCATCGACGTAGGGCTGCCCCACCAGGCGCCTCGTTCAAATGGCAGCACCACGAGGCCAACAAGCCATCCGCTTCCAGCCTCCCTGCGTCAGAGATGCACAGATAAGTTAATACGGCAACTCTCATTCTCTAAACTCACTCCGGCCGCCTGCTCATAGTTGCTCCTATATCAGGCAAGAGAAAGGACAGCCTGACTGGGACCCCCAGGCTTTAGGGCCCGGGGACCTTGGGCTCGATGGGCCCACTCCAAGCCCCGCCTCTCACTCCCTATTGTCCAATGGCTTTGCCGGACTTAGTGGGTGGAGGGGGGCGGGACCAGATTGTTAGTAAACGCTGGGCCACGTGCGAGGGCCGATTCGGGCGGGGCCTAGGCTGGCGCATGCGCGCAGGTGCGCGGCGGGTAGGCGCGCGCGCGCGGCCGGGCGGAAGCGGAGGGGAGCGCCGCGGCGCGCGTGGTCAGCGGGTATGGAGGTGGAAAAACCTGCGGACGCCGAGGTGGGCGCTGACACCGGAACAGAGTGCTGCCCTCGAAGTCCAGCCTGCAGCCTCCGGCACTTTGCTTGTGAACAGAACCTGCTGTCCCGGCCGGATGGATCCGCTTCTTTCCTGCAAGGTGCGAACCTAACCAGGCTTAAGTGTGCGCGCGCCAGCCTCACCGAGGTAGGCTTTGGTTTTGAAGAGCGGTTACGTGGAGTTGTGCAGCAGCGTGCGCCCAAGTCCTTGAAAAGCCATTTCTAGATATTGCGTGTACGCACTTCTCCCAGCTCCATGATACTCCCGGCCTGGGGAAATGCCTCTCGGAAGAAATGGAGGGCAAGACCGCTCCAGAATAGGTGAAATCTCACCAAGGCAAGTACTCCCCTTGACTAGATTTCTTCCCGAACACTTCTGGATACGCACATGGCCGGATGAGGCTGAGGTGTTCATTTACGTAAATACCCTTGGAGACAGACATATCACCGCCGTTGGTTTAAACATAATTACTGTGGCAGATGATTTACACAAGTAAATGCTCTTCAGGTTGAACGGGATCTTGCCATCCTGGGCTGACGAGCGTCTCACCTTCTCCCATCCCATCGTTTGAGGAAATGTGCCTTTGCTTGCTGTGCGAATCTATCCCATCAGAGTAGATGAATGTATGGAGGAAAGAGAGGTCTCCTGACGGACACCCACACGACCCCATATCCTGTGAGGGTCAGCTAATTTTGAGAGGTCATGGGAGCATGAGAACCTACGAAAGTAGACAGAAAAGAGCAGCGAGTTGGAGTTGTGTTTGAGATGTCAGAGCTGGCCTTACTTGCCTGTGAGTGAGAGCCCGTGTGTGTGGGGGTGCCCATGAGGGGCAGAAGAGGGTATTGATGCCGTGGAGCGGGATAGAGGGTAGCTGTGAGCAGCCTGCTGTGGATAGTCCTGTGGAAGAGCAGTGTGCATGCCGACCTCGGCTTCTCTCCAGCCCCAGCCGCCTCTAAATACGCCTCAGTGGCTGCTCTGTAAGCGCTGCTCATACTGGCCAGCATCCTGAGTGTCTCAAGTGAACTGTGTCTCTTTAAAATTGATGCTTATTTCATTTTCTCATGGGATGCCTACTCAGGGCCTCCTGTTTTTGTGAGCCGTTGTCACATGATCTTCACAAATGTGCCATGAGGGGGTGCTCTAATGATTTCTACTTAAAGAAGAGAAGCGGTCAAGGTGGCACAGCGTGCCCAAGGCCTCCCCTGATGTTCCCCCAGGTGACACCTCTGTCCTGGCTGGAGTGTATGGGCCCGCCGAGGTGAAAGTCAGCAAAGAAATCTTCAACAAGGCCACACTCGAAGTGATCCTTAGGCCGAAGATCGGGCTGCCTGGTAACTGGACTCCTCTGAACCTCCTTCACCCCCCCCATCCCACCCCACCCCATCCAGTCTCTCAGGACCTTGCCTGCCTCCTGCTGCTTGCTGTGTATTCTCCAGCGTGCTGCTCAGCTCCCTCTTTTCCCAGCTCCTGGTTTTTAGATTTTGCTGTACTGGGGATGGAGTCCAGAGCCTCATGCCTGCTAGGCAGATGCTCTTCCGGGGAGCCACAGTCCCGGGCTCTCGCTTGTGGACTCTGGTCAAGCCCTCTGCTGCTGAGGTTAGGCCTCCCAGGTTCTCACTGGTGGGGTTCCCCTCAGGCATTCTAGTCCGGAGCCACCACCAGCTTTTCCCTCATGAATTTAAGGCTGTATGGCCCGGCCCCATCGCCTTGCTGGGACTTCTCCCTTACGAATTAAAGGCTGTATGGCTGGGCCCCATTGCTGGGCTGGGACTGAGCTCTCTCTGGAGCCCAGGCTGCCCTCAAATTGGTGGTCAGGACTTCTCAAGTCCTGAGATTACAGACCCGTACCACCAGACCCACCTCCTCTAGAACCACTTCTTTGTCTCCGTTTCTTTCTTCTTTCTTCCCTTCTCTGCCTTCATCTTGCCTCCTTTCATTGACTTGTTTCTCCTTTCATTGACTGCCCCTTTATGACATCTCTGTGTGTGTTGTGGGATGGGCTTGCTCCGGGGCGGTGCATATGGGCAGTAGTACAGGACATGGGCACTTCTGGGTATTCCTCTGTGGGTGGCTAGCTGATGGACCCTTGGCTAAGGCTGGCCATCGCAGCTCTTACTAAGTTAAAGGCTTGCCTGCTCTGTCCTGGGACTGTGCAGGCCGTCCCAGGCCGAGACTGCCAGCCCCTTCCTAAAGTCTCCCTCCAGAGGCTGGATTGAGCAAGACAGTGGGTGGAAGTGAAGAGCCTGACAGCTTCCCATCTCCCCAGGTGTGGCAGAGAAGAGCCGGGAACGACTCATCAGGAATACATGTGAGGCAGTGGTCCTGGGGGCCCTGCACCCCCGAACCTCAATCACTGTGGTGCTGCAGGTGGTGAGCGACGCTGGCTCTGTATCCTTCCCCAGCCCCCTCCTCCAAGAAGTGCCCAGAACTTTCCTCGTGGCTTCCCTTCTGGAGGCCCTGTCATGCACCTTCAGCCATTTCAAACCTGTGCCAGGCAGCAGCTCATAATGAACGTGACACAAGGCCAGGGCCAGCAAGATGGTTCAGTGGGTAAAGGTGCTTGCTGCCAAACCTGGCGACCTGAGTTCAGTTCCCAAGACTCACATGGTAAAAGGCGAAACCAGCTCCTGCAAGCTGTCCTCTGACTACCACGTGAGTGCCATGCACACACTTGCCACGAACACACAGAAATAATAAGTGTAGTTTATTAAATGTGCAAGCACGGCTCACTGGACTGTGCTCGAAGCACCTCACAGTGGTAGGTCGCTCGGTTCTTTCGGGACTTTAGTGGGTAGCATTGGTTCCTGTGTAAATCCCAGGGCGTGGGCATGGGCTTGGGCCTTCATGAGCCCGAGGTCTGTGGCACCATGTTTCTCATGTTGCAGTGCGTCAGGTGAGGAAACAGGCTCAGAGAAGGCCAGTGTCTCATCTGAAGGGAGAGCTGGGACTCAAGCTCAGGCATGTCCAACCCTAGAGCTTGAGCCAGTGACCTCTTCCCTGCACCTTGCCGTGAGTTTCTGGCTGTCTACTGGGGGAGCAGCAAGCAGGTAGAGTGGTCATTGGCCGCGTTATCTAGGTGACAGCTTCCCCAGGTGCTGAGCCTGGCTTTGCAGTATCTTCCCTTGGGGAGATCCCTCTCTCTGATCCTGTTTCGCTGAATGTACTTGGTGTGTCCTTTAGTGTGTGTGCCTGTTGCCTAGCATTACCCCAGCTAACACAGGGAGACTGAGACTTAGCAAGGATCAACTGGCCTCCTAGCTGGGAACGCCCAGTAGGAAGCAGCGGCGGCTACTTGCTGCCAGAACCGCTTATCTGCTCTGCCGTGGTGCTGTGCTGTGGTCCATCAGCAATGTCTGCCGCAGGCGTCGGCAAGGAGAGGGAAGGATGGATGTGCTCTAATGGCCAGCCCCACAAAAGACTCTTCTTAACTGCCCTGATGCTCAGCTTTTGGCCTGTTGCCTGAACGCTGCCTGCATGGCACTGGTGGATGCGGGCGTGCCCATGCGGGCGCTCTTCTGCGGGATCAGCTGTGCCCTGGACTCCGATGGCACGCTCGTGCTGGACCCCACAGCCAAGCAAGAACAGGTAAGCACAGAGAGTTGACGTTGGGAAGGACTGCGGCCTCCAGGCCTGCCTTCTGGGAGAGGGCTCTCTGCCCCATTCATCAAGCTTCATTCAGCTTTCAGAGCTAGAAACTCAACTCAGACTTGCACAAGGCAGAAGAGAAACTTGCTGGCATTCATTAGCAAGCTGCAGAGCAGAGCTCTGGTTCTTATGCCCTGTGCTGGCACTTCACATGAAGGGACTGGAGAAGCAGAAGAGATGAGGAATGTTGGCAGTGCAGGCTGGCCCCAGCTGGGTCCTGCTGTGACGTCATCGCAGTTGGTGCAAATGCATGCACAAACCGGGGTACCCAGGCTCTGTCCTGGCCGTCACCTCTAGCTCTTCCTACACCTGCTGCTGAGGGTGGGGACCGGGATGCTTCTCCTGGGCTTGCTGGGTTCCTGTTGCCAGCCGTAAGGACTTCATCACTGGCCTGCCTGTGTGGTACTGAGCAAGGGAGGGAGCGTTGGCAGTAGAGAGGTGGGCAGAAATGGCCAGCACTGTGGCTCCCCAGGGGACAGGAAAACTGGTCAGAATAAAGACATAAGGAGCAAACAAGCGGGGAACACTCACTCAGGGATGGGATAGTGAAGATAGCTGCAGTTGACCTGGAGGCTGAGAGTCCAGTCACCCCTGTTGGGGACTGGCTGGGATCTTGGAGAAGAGGATTCTGGAATACTTACACTTATACCTCTACCCTAGGAGGCCCGGGCCATCCTGACATTCGCTCTGGACAGCGTGGAGCAGAAGCTGCTCATGTCCAGCACCAAGGGGCTCTATTCTGATGCCGAGGTACCGGTGTGGGGGGCACACTCACAGCCTTTTCTCCTGTCAACAGAACAGCGTATTCCAGCTCAAAACAAACCTTTACATCCCTTTTGGGTGAGAGGCTGGCTGTGTGTCTGTGTGTGTCCTCAGGGACAACTTGAAGGAGTTGGAGGGAGTTGGCACTCTCCTTCCACCATGTTGGTCTGGGGACTGAAGTCAGTGGTTAGGAATCTTTAATTTAGAACCATCTTCCCAGTCCCTAAGTTTATTCTTAATGAAAAGAGTGGAGGTGCTTTGGGGACCAGACTCTGAAAGCAATGGGGCCTCAAATTTACGAGCACAAAATCCCGACACCTTGGAAGAATTTAGAGAACTGGAGACACTCTGAGTGTCAGAGCCATAATCCTTTCACTTTGAAACCTTTTTTGCTGTTTGAGACAAAGTCTTACGTATGTAGCCCAGGTAGACCTAGGACTGTGTAGCTCAGGATATCTCAAACTTGGTGACTCTCCTGTCTTAGCCTGCTGAGTGCCGAGAGTAAAGGTGAGGGCTACTAGACCTGCCTAGCAATTTTTTAAGGTAAATATGGACTCTGTAGTCCACGCTAGCCTGGAACTCACAGCAGTCCTCTGGCCTCAGCTTCTAAAGGGCTTTGATTACAGCTGGGAGCCCCTATACCCAACCCAGAATAACCTCAAGAGCCATGAAATAGAGATTTAAATCTTTACTGCCACATAGGCCTAAGGCCCACAGGGCCGGAGTCTGTGTGTGGCCCGAGTTTCTAAACCGTGTCCTTGGGGAGCCCAAAATTCTGGGGGGCACTGTTCTGTGGGATGGCTGCACCACCTTCAAGCTGAACCATGTGTTCTGATCTCATCATTCAGGCCTTCCTTTACAGTTGCCACAAATAAACTCCCTTTGGGGTTTGGGTGTGTTTCTTTCCTTCTTTCTTTCTTTCTTTCTTTCTTTCTTTCTTTCTTTCTTTCTTTCTTTCTTTCTTTCTTTCTTTCTTTCCTTCCTTCCTTCCTTCCTTCCTTCCTTTCCTTTCCTTTTTTCCTTTTTTCCTTTTTTCCTTTTTTCCTTTTTTCCTTGTTAAGATAGGATCTCTTAGTGCGCCCCTGGCTGTCCTTGAACTAGAGCTATGCCTGCCTCTGTCTCACAAGTGCTAGGTCCTAAGTGCGGCTTGGGACCATGTGCGTGCCAGGCGAGCCTTTTACAAGCTAAGCCGGTACACACAGTAACTTACATACTGAAAAGAGGGGAGAAGCGTGGGCAGTCTGGGCATGTGGCTTTGTTGGCAGAGGGTTTGTCTAGCATGCGTGACATCCTGGGCCGCATCCCAGCACCGCATACAGCCAGGTGTAGTGGTGGACTGAGGAGACTGAGGCAGGAGGACTGTTCAGGTCTCCTTACAGTTCTGCATCAGCTCCGTTGTGGGGTGGGCGTTAGGAGGTAGGTGGTATGGAAGGAAATGGCCGTTATGGTGGAGTGAAAGGGGGCGGGGGACTCGTGTGGGGAGTAGCCGCGGGCACTGACTGGGATCTCCCTCTCCAGCTCCAGCAGTGCCTGGCTGCTGCCCAGGCCGCCTCGCAGCATGTCTTCCGCTTCTACCGGGAATCACTGCAGAGGCGCCACTCCAAGAGCTGAGACACGCCTGGGCGGGGTGCTCCGCCCACCGCGGGGCGCCACGCCCACCGCCTGCAGCTGCTACAACCCAGCACCCGTCTTGTCAATGTCTGCTGTCTTGTCTCTGTCTAGCCTACTTGGCTTCGGTCCTGTAGCCTCAGGGTCTCCTGTTCCAGGCTGGGGAGGGGTCCCAGGAACGTTTCTAGGACTGGACACCCCTTTCTTCCCCCCACCAGGACACCATTAAAAAGAGCCCGTCTGTGTTGAGTAGTGCGTCAGTAGCCCATGATTTCCATGGCTGATGAGTGCTCATTTATCAGGCCTGCTCGGTGCTGAACAATGGCCAAGAGCCCCAAGCCCCATGACCCATGCTCCAGGATAAGAGACAGGTGTGCTGGCTCATGCCAGTGGCCACTACCCAGTGAGGCAGGTCAGCCTGATCACCGTGAGACAAAGGTGATCTGGAGACATGGCTCGAGCATTGTTGCTCTTCCAAAGGACCTGAGTTCAGTTCCCAGCACCCACATCAAGCGGCCCAGAACCACCTGTAACTCCAGCTGCTGCAAGGGATCAGACGTCCTCTGGGCACTCACAGAGACAAAATTAAATCTAGAGCAGGGGGTCGGTTTGGGGGGGGTGGGTAGCAAATTCGGTATCAGGATGCCTTGACAGCCAAAGATATCCCTAACGGAGGAAAATGTGTGAGCTCTTAGCTAACATGGGGGAGAACCCCAAGGGCCCGGGGACAACCAGCAGAATCTGGGAGCTCTTCATCCAGCATCCCCATGAAGTCGGGCTGGTACAGTCCGCATCTGAAGATGGTGCAAACAGAAGAGCCAGGTAGCTATGTGACATCACCATCACCAGCTAGCCTGCAGAAGAAGACCGAAGGGCCATGAGACACTGCTCCCAGAGGACCCCATATCTAAGCAAGTCATGGGGCCCAGGCAGCTAGGTTCCACACACTCCTGGGTACTCAGACGACTTGAGTTGAACATGAGTTTCTGTGAAGATTAACTGTCAGCCCATCAGCAAATGATGCCACATCAGCAGGCCCCAGGCAGTTTCCCTGTGTTAGGCCCATTCTGCCATGCACTTCACGTGCTCACACCGTGAGCCCCTGCACAGATTGTTCACTCCTGTTAACCTAGAAGGGAGTGTGCAGGTATCTTCAGCTAGGCGTTTTGCTCTCTTAGATGCCGGAGGGAGTGCCAAGTGGAAAGGGTATTTCCTTCCGGCAGTGGTACCTAGGCCAAAGCCCTGCCTGCTCTTGAGGTTACCAAGCCCCATGTAGTGCTCACTCCCTGTGTGTTGCCAAGCGCTGGGCAGTCATGGAAGGATCCGCCCTTTGCATAGCCAGCGAGTCCACAGTTGGAGGCAGGGGTGGGCGGAGCTCTTGAGTTCCAGGCCCCTTGTGCAGGGAACCCAGGACCTTGGTTAGAGTGGGTTTAGGGGTCACCTGGGAAGGAGGATTTATGGTCTCGAGATGGTTTGAGCTACCAGGATTGTTTTTCTCCAAGAAAAGAGAAAGCAAGTTTGCAGTAGGGAGTAATGTTTGCATCACCGGAAACCCAGGTACAATTTCTGTTTTCTTGTGTTTGAGGACCTACTTAATTGGTCTTTCAAGACCAGTCTCTGTGAGGCTCTTGACTGGCCTGTAACTCATCTGTAGACCAGGCTGGCCTTGAACTCCCAGAGCTACTCCTGCCTCTGCTTCCTGGAAGTGCTGGGAGTAAGGCCTTCATCACCACCAACAGATGGCCCTGGGATATGAAAACAGGGACCTGTAAAATCTGAGCAAGCCCTTTGTAGACCAGGCTGGCTTTGAACTCAGATCCTCCCACCTCTGCCTCCTGATTGCTGGGAGTGCCGGCTTCATGTTTTTCTTTCCTCTTTTTTATTTTTAGGTTGAGTCTAAGTTGTCAAGGCTGGCCCTTCCCCGCAGCACTGGGAATGAAACCAAGGGCCCCGGACTTGCTGGGCAAGTGCTCTACCACTGCTCGTCCCAGTCCTAGGCCAGCTTGAACTTGTTATCCTCCTGCCCCGTCCCCCCCCCCCCCCCCCCCCCCCCCCCCCCGGTTACCAGGATACCAGCATGGCTGTCCTACCACCACCGTTCCTCTTGATTATGGACAAGGGAATAGTTTGTCTGGGGTGGGAAGAGCTCAGAGGCAAGCAGCCGGCCGCCACACACAAGCGCAGGTACAGGTGTTACAACCTCTGCTCAGCCGGAGGTACCTCGTCCCGTTTGCAGACAGGTTTAAGAAGCCACTTGGCCCGGGGTCATGAAGCTCTCAGGCTGAGTGAAGACCCTGAAGCCTGGCTGTAATTCTGTGCTGACTGCTGTGGAGAAGAGGGTACTGCAGCATCCCACCTCAGGCTCCAAGATGATGCCAGCCACGGCCTGCTAACCGAGCTGGACACCCGAACACAGACAGACTCGGGTTTGGCCTCTCAGTATCTTTAATTTCTTAAATTGCTTCCTTCTGGGTGGGGGTGACCAGGAAAGGGAGGGGGCCTCCAGCTGATGCGGTTCTGGATGATGTGGTCCTCGCAGTCACCACCATCGGCATCAAGATCATTCTGCTCACGGGGTTGCTGGAGCTGTGGCCTCTGCATTCACAGTGGGGGCCGGAGGGCAACTAGGGCGGGTCTCGGGAGGCAAGGTAGGCAGCCAAGGTCACCAGGGCAGCCGCATACGTACACAGGCCCAGCCCCACGGCAAGGACCCCCAGCAGGAAGGCACGGCGGGAGGCGGCCCCTGCCCCTTGGACGTCCCCCTTGGCCCAAGCCTTGTTGGTCTGTAGAGGCAGTGGGCAGTGGTAACCAGAGTGTCCCCCTCCCCCTCCCCCCTGCTTCCTGTGGCTCCCCCTCACATCAACCACCAAGGATAACCAATCCATTCATCTATTCCAGAGCCATGGTTGGGACACAGGGCTGCCCCAGCTGAGCAGCACGGTTGCTGGGTATCTAATAAAAGAATGTTTTCATAGGTGGAAGTGCTCGCCTGAAATCCCAGCCCTGGGAGGCAGAGGCAGGTGCATGTCTGAGTTAGAAGCCAGCCTGGTCTACAGAGTAGTCTATAGGACAGCCAGGGCTACACAGAAAAATTCTGTCTCAAAAAAAAAAAAAAAACGTATTTCCAGATGCCACTATCTTATGACAGTATTCATACAATAACTCTGAGAAAGGGAGTTCCCGTTCACTGAGGAGGGAAACGTACGGGGCATGCATTAGAGAAAACCAGGGTTAGTTCCAAGCCCCTCCTCACCACTCCAGACTCGTGAAATGTGTCTTGGTTTTTCCTCCTAGTTTCCTCCTTCCCTTTGTTTTTTATTTTGTGTTTATTTTGGACACAGTCTCGGGTAACCCAGGCTGGCCTGGGGTCCCTTTGTAGGCAAGGATAGCCTTGAACTTAGATCTTCCTGCCTCCATCTCCTGTGTGTTGGGGATCAAACCCAGGGCTTCATGCTTGCTAGGCCAACACTGCCGTTGGGCGGCATCTGCAGCCCTGCTCTTTTGTGGGTTCCGTTCTTTGGAGACAAGATCCTCATCTGTAGCCAGGTTGGCCTCGAGTCTCCTCCTCGGCCTTCCAGACACTACAGGCGGGCACCACCACATCTAGCTACACCTGTGTGCTCTACGCGGAGGCTTCTTTCCAGCCCACCTCCACTGGAGGAGCATGGCTCCTCTTCCTTCTTTTTTCTTCTTCAACCCAGCATCCTCCCAGTCCCAAACACAGACTAACCTTGTGGGCCAGACAGAAGGCAGCGATGCCCACAGGCCAAAAACAACACAGCACAGAGAAGACAGCCAGGCCGAGGTGGTCATGGGGAAGGACTGGGGAGAGGCGGTCGTCCTGGTCATAGTCTGAGTCACTGTCACTGGATGATGTGTCCTGTGAATGGAAGAGAGGCTGGAGGGCAGTCTCCACCCACCTTCCCTGCCCTGTCACCCCTAGAGACCAGCGCTTCCTGGGGCCATCCTAGGATGTCTCTGTGCCCTAGATCCTGTGGGAGGGAGACTGGATTCTGAAGGGCTCCAGAGAGACCCACCCGCAGAGTGCTGAGTTCATCAGGATCTATGGAAAGATTGCTTATAATTCCGGAATGAAAGGACTGAAATGGGGACACGCGTTACCTGCAGAAGATTAAAAACAGCCCAGTGTCCTGAATTATTAGGACAAACTTGCCTGCCAAAAGTGACTATAAAGTAAAGCGTGCATTTAATCCTAGCATTCGGGAGGCTGGGGCAGGAAGATCAGGAGGCCTGCCTAGATTATATGGCACAGGTCTAGAAAACAGAGTCTTTCACTGGTGTCTCCAGGCAGCTCAACAGGCGCAAACCAAGTCTCTGGGAAAAGGAACCTTCATTCTAGGCCTCCCAATAGTTGATCCTAAAAATAATTAATTCAAACAAAATGACTAGCATACTGTCAAATATACTGGACACACAAATGTCCAGTAGGAACTTAGAGGCGCAATACAGCTGTCAAGACTGATGCTGGGACGGATCGGAGAGAGGGTAAGATGCTGCTCGTGTGTTGGTGTGGCAGGTGTTTTCCACCCTTGTGTTTGTCTTGATTTTAGAGTCTTTGTGCTCTGTAGCCCAGGCTGTTCTTGAAAGCCACGTGTAGCCCAGGCTGTCTGAAACTCACCTTTCTGCCTCAGCGGACGGATTATAGGCGCATACTAAGTAAGCCTGGTTCTACGTGCTTTTTTTTTTTTTTAGGACAAGGTCTGTTATATAGCCTTGACTGTCCTAGAACTCATGAAGTAGACGGGGCTGGCCTCAAACCCACAGAGTTCCACCTGCCTCTGCCTCCAGAGTGCTGGGATTGAAGGCGTTGGACAAACCCTCTTGCTCCAAGCACCTTTCTGATGTGACTCTGATATGCCTTCCTCAGCGACACCGATGGGGTCCCTTCTCCCTCCCCTTGAACCTGGACAAGCCTGTGACTCACTTGTACTTAACAGAATGTGACATGAGTAACTGCGCAAGATTTCCTGGGTAAAGGTGGCAAAAATCAGGTCTGGTCCAGAGGACTGAAATTTCAAGTCCCGCCAAAACACAGAGTGAGTTCAAAGTCAGCCTGGGCCACTTAGCCCGAGCCCACCTCCAGTAAAATGGGGAAACTCAGGGTGGCGGCTCCTGCCTCCTCCCCAGCTCCCAAGAGCTGGAGGCAGGAAGAGAAGTTCAAGGTCATCTTCAGTCACACGGTGAGGTTGAGGCTAGTCTGGGCCACATGAGGACTGTTTCACAGAAGAGACCAACTGGCTGGAGCGGCACAGACAGGCCTGTGTTTCCAGGCACTCATGAGGACGAGGCAAAAAGATGAGTGTGAGCTAAGGTGTTCAGGCCGGCATGAATATCAGACCTTGCCTCAAAGAAAATAAAAATGAAGGACAGGTTTCACAGTATGAGCAAGAAATACAGCATTATAAAAGCGACTTGAGGCCACATGGCAGTGGATTTTAATCCCACCGCTCGGGAGGCTGAGGCAGGTGGAGTCCTGTGATTCAAGGCCAGCCTGGGCTACACACAGCTCCAGACCAGCCGTGGCTGTTCCAAAACAAAACGAACAAAAACTGTTGAGGCTCCCAGCGAGCCCTGACACAGTCAAGAACACAGACCTAGGCAGGTACCTCCACCATCAGCCTAAGGTCCTACCTCAAGATCAGGGCTCTCAGGTTCCCCCAGGCCAGCGCTCACTGAAGAAAGAGGTGGGAGGAGGAACTGCCAGCCTCTCGGGGACTCTGAAAAGGCTGCTCCTGGGAAGGGGGGTCCCAGCTCTGGTGTGCCAGATTTGGGAGCCAGGAGGTCAGAGGCCGGGCTTGGCAGTAAGGGCTGCTGGAGTTCCTGTTCGCTGGAGTTGTCCATGGCTGTGCGGGCTGTGGTAAGAGGTTTCTGGAGACACAGGGAAAGAAAGCCAAGTTCCAGAAGTCTTGACTTCATCCATCAGCTCCTGGCTACTGGCCTTGGAGGGATGAGTGGGCTCAAAGCACCTCATATTCATTTTACAGAGAGAAAACAGACTGAGAATAAACGGGGGGGGGGGGGCTGCCTAACTCACACAGACAGCTCAGGGCCCCAGATGATGAATTCTGGGATTCTTTCTTTAAATATGTATATATGCCTTGAGGGCTGGAGAGATGGCTCAGCACTTACAACAGGGATGGTCTGTCCTCCAGAGGACCCAGGTTCAATTCCTAGCACCACATGGCACCTGACAACTGTCTGTAACTCCATTTCCAGAAGATCTGACACCTCACACAGACACACATGCAGGCAAAACACCAGTGCACGTGAAATAAGAACTAATCATTAAAAAATTATATACCTGTTGCATGCTCACTGCAAACCATGTCTTACACACTCATCTGTCCCATGAGCCCTCTCCAAACACACACTCCTATCCCCAGGCTCACAGCCCTCACCACCCATGCAGGCCTTCCTCCTAGAACACACACATCCACCCCTCAGCCCTAGTGACCCGGAACTTCCCCCCCCCGCCCCCCCCGCCACGCACACCTGGCCCTCACACTCCGTTCCCAGGACCACTGTCACGCAGCCCCTCTCAAAGAAAACCACCCACACACCCTGTCACTTGCCAAAGGTCTCCTTGAGCACGCGTGCAAATGACAGCGGAGCTCCTCAGAAACACGTCTAAGGCTGGCACTGTTCTTACACACCCTTGTGCGTCCCCGAGCCTCCTGGCACCATCAGCCCTCACCCTTGCTGCATCTGAAGCCGCAATCACCCCCAACACGCAGAGACCCCCGCACCCACCCAGCACCGCCACGCTTCTCAGCTCCAGGCGCTTCCATTTCACACCTGCCCAACTCAAGCCGCGCTGCACCCTGACCTTTCCCACCGTGCCCACGATGCCACACGTCTCCCCACGGGCCTGTCGCCTTAGCTCACCGGGCACATAACGCCCCAAGGCCAGCAAATGTACCGTTCACACTCAGGGAGAAACCTCTCTCTAAGATCCCCTACCCCAGATCCTTCCAAGGCTAGCTCAGGTTCTCGCCCCATCCCTTCCTCCCCACCCCGCAACACCAAGACCCCGGGGGAGGAGCAACGTCCCGGCTCCTTTCCTCACCGCCCACGGCCAGGCGCCCGACCTCCTGGGGCCTTGCAGGGCGCCCACCTTGCCCTGTCGCCCAGAGGATGGGCGAACCTGAACCCTGCGACCGGGCGTCCCCAGCGGGCCTGAGAGCTGCCGCGCCGCGCGTGGCCCTCTGCGCCTAGCCCTGCAGCGCGCCGCGCCGGGGAGGGGAGAGGCGGGGCCCCACTCCAGACTCCGCCCCTCCGCTGCGCCCCGGGAGCGGGGCCCCAGAGCCCGCGGCTTTCCTTCCTGTTGGTGGGGCTTTCCTGACTGGACCCCACTCTCCTCACCCAAAGATGGTCCAACAACGACTTCAACTGCAGCTCTGTGCCCTGTTGTGGGCTGCAAACAATACAGGACAATTCTAAGCCGCGAAGAGGCACAGAGAGGCGAAGCAGCTTGTTGGAGAGCCCACGGCTTCAATGCGTGCAGACACTACCCCAGGCCGCGTCCTGGGGGCTGCACCTTCAACAGCGCATTCATTCCCTCAGCAGCTGTTTCACCGCTGCTTTGCAGGTGGAGAAACTGAGGCCCAGACTGCGGCTCTAGTGCTGAGGTAGGCAAGTGGAACTGACGCCAGCAGGCTGTGAGCCACGGCTGACCACAGGGCAAGGGAAAAGGCCGAAGGTCAGAAGGCTGAGTGAGGACAGGGGACGAGGATGCTCCGAGCACCCTACAGTGATGCTGGTGGCGTCCACGAGTCAGGACCGAGCTCTCCGCGTGCGCGCGCGGGCCCTCTGCGGGCTTTTCAAGGCACTTGACGCGTGAACTTTGGGCCATCGCCCACCTCTCCAAACCTGAGTTTCCTCATCTGAGAACTCAGGGCCTACGTCCAGCTTCCTGAGGACATGCTTATTTTTATTTTTTTCATGTTTTCGTTGTTTATTTTATGTGTGGCGCACACACGCTGGAGTGAGCGCGTGTGGGAGCAGGAGGACAGCTGGCTGGTGATCTTTCCTTCCACCAGGTGGGCTCCTGGACTCCAGCTCGGGTCATCGGGTTTAGCATCAAGCTCCCCTTCGCACGGAGTCATTTCAACAGCCCAACATATGGATTAGACTTAACGTGACAACAAACCCGCACACATTTCCCCAAAGGCTGGCAAAGTACGCGCAGTGGGCAAATGTAGTATGTTGGTCGATGTTATTCATAATTCGTGTCCATTCGACTGATGAACTCTCCTGGCCTTCCAAGCTACCTCCTCCTCCAGGGAGCCCACCCAGCTTGCACTGCCACCTTTCCTGTAGCTCTCCATCTGGCCCAGACAGGAGGATTCCTGGCCTGACATGGGGCCATGGAGTTCCCTAGCTCGAGGGCGCCAGGGAACTTTGCCAAGGGTCCAGACGCTTAAGCTGGCACGGGGCCCCAGTCCCGGGGAGAGCAGATGGTGTCTGGGAGCACGCTTGGCTCAGCCAGAGTTTCTGTCAGAGAGACCCACAGGAGGGGTAATGGCAGGGGCAGGGCCAGGCTGGTTTTCACCAGAAGGGATTTAACAGCTTTTACACCATGTAAAAAACTGCTAACGCCTTCCACGTGCATGCTGCTCCTGCCTGCTCCAGTCAGCATCAGCTCCACCTCTGCTGGGATTTGTTCTCTTTTGTTCGGGGCTGTGCCTCTGGCCTGATATCTGACACAAAGCAGGCCTTCCTTTTAGGCTCATGGGATGAGGGCATGAATTCCCACCAGCCTCATTTTCCCAGCAGATCACTGAGCTCAGTGACAGTGCAGCCTCCCCTTGCCATCCCAGCTGTGAATTCCTGTTAAGTTAGAACTATGATCACCAGTAGCCTTGTGGAGTCTCTGAGCACACCTCTTCCAGGGGGGCAGGAAAAGCCTGGGATCTTATTTTGTGACAGGCATAGAATGAATGTGGACTGTGTGTGTGACTGTGTGTGTGTAAGGGAATCTAGGACCTCTTGCATGATAATAGGCAACTGTGCCCTTGCCACTTCCCCAGCCCCTCACTGGGGGATTCCAGGCAGGGGCTCTACCCCTGAGCCACACCCCAGCCCCTCACTGGGGAATTCTAGGCAGGGGCTCTACCGCTGAGCCACACCCCAGCCCCTCACTGGGGAATTCTAGGCAGGGGCTCCACCACTGAGCCACTTCTCTAGCTCCTCACTGGGGTATTCTAGGCAGGGGCTCTACCACTGAGCCACACCCCAGCCCCTCACTGGGGGATTCTAGGCAGGGGCTCTATCACTGAGCCACACCCCAGCCCCTCACTGGGGGATTCTAAGCAGGGGCTCTACCACTGAGCCACACCCCAGCCCCTCACTGGGGGACTCTAGGCGGGGGCTCTACCACTGAGCCACACCCCAGCCCCTCACTGGGGGATTCTAGGCAGTTGTTCTGCCACTGAGCCACCCCCCAGCCCCTCACTGTGTATTCTATGTTCCCTAACATGATGCTCAAGAACTACAGTGTCACATCTATGCTTTTCCTGCTGCATCATTCAGATCTGATGGGAAAAAATTATGAGGCTGGGTTGGAGATGTAGCTCGGTTGTAGAGTGCTTACCTAGCAGGAACTGGGTTCAGTCCCCAGCACTGCATAAAAACAGGCATGGTAGTGCACACTTGTAAGGTGGAGGCAGGGGGATCAGATTAAGATCATCCTCTGCTACACAGCAAGTCAGAGGGCAGCCTATGAAACAAAACGTAGTTAAGATCTGGGGATACAGCTATACTTATATGATAGAACACTTTCCCAGAATGTGCAAGGCCCTCGGTTCAATCTCCAGAATTAGAAAAAAAGGAGGAGAGGAGAGAGCACCCCCTTATTTTGGAACTTCAAGACGGGGTTTCTCTGTGTAACCTTGGCTGTCCTGGACTTGCTTTGTAGGCCAGGCTGGCCTTGAACTCACAGTGATCCTCCTGCCACTGCCTCCTGAGTGCTGGGACTAAAGGCATGCACCACCACTGCCCAGCCTCAAACCACTTTTCAACAATGAATAAATCAAATCTCAGCCTGGGTGGCTCACTGAAGCTGCATCTCTGGACCTAGGACAGCTGAGTTATAGATTCTCCCCTTCCTAGCCATTGTTTAGTCCTCTCATAGTTTTGGAGGAGGGCCTTGTGAATGCTGTAACTTTCAGGATTTTCCTGAGCCTTGCAAGCCTCCTTTACTTTCTAAGCCTTGCATCTTGTATAAATTAGTTTTATTTTGCTGTGATAAAACATCATGACCAAGATAAGTTATAAAAGAAAGAGTTTAATTGGGCTTATAACCCCAGAGGGTTAGACTCTGAGATGGCAGAGTGGAGCATGGCAGCAGGCGCCCAGGGCAGCAGCTGAGAACTCACATCTTGATCCACAAGCAGGAATCAGAGAGCACTAACTTCAAATGGCACACGTCTTTTGAAACCTTAAAGCCCCCAGTGACATGCTTCTTCCACCAAGGCCACATTTCCTTCGGAGAGAGCGAGCAAGTGGGAACCAAGTATTCAAATGCTTGAGAGAAACCACCACACACATTTTATTTCCTGACTTTCAGATTTTTAGCTAGGTGTGCTGGTGAATGCCTTTGATCTCGGCACTCTGGAGGCAGGGCAGGAAAGCCAGGGCTACATGGGGAGACTGTGTGGTGAACAGGAGTGGCCCCCAGGCCCCTGTGCTCGAATGCTTGGCCCACAGGGAGAGGCACTGGTGGAGGTGTGGCCTTGTTGGAAGTGCGTCACTGTGGATGGAGGCTTTGAGGTCTGCGCTCAAGCTATGCCCAGTGTGGATAAGATGGAGAACTCTCATCTCCTCCAGCGCCACGTCTGCCTGCCCGCTGCCATGCTTCCCACCGTGAGGACAATGGCGGGAACCTCTGAAACTGTAAGCCAGCCCCAATTAAATTAAACTCCTTTGTAAGAGTTGCTGTGGTCATAGCTTCTCTTCACGGCAATGAAACCCTAAGACACTGTCTCAAAAAAAAAAAAAAAAGATTATTTTATGTGGGTGTGGGTGTGCCACAGAGGCCAGAAGATGGTGCTGGGCCAGCTCTCCTGGATCTGGGGGTTACGGGTAGGTGTAGGCGCTGGGCACAGGTGGCGGTCCCCAGGTCCTCAGGAAGAGCAGCACACACTTCTCGGAGCCCTCTCTCCAGCCTGCTTCCTGCTTCCTAGAGTCTTTGTCCTGCGTGGAATGTTTCCGTTCTGAGGAAACAGTTATGAAACCTACCTACAGCCTCCACACCTTGCTTCCTTTTTCGTATCAGGTGGATTTGGCTTATGAAATTCATCAGGATGTCCATTTACTACCTGTGCACTTTTCTGTGCATATGCTTAGAAAAATGTTATTTTTGAAAAGGGCGACTTAGACCTTCTGTTTCCAAGATGAGTCCGGGGTGAGTACACAAGGGTTGGAGCCATAAACAGCTGCCACGGAAAACAATATGGCTGCTCCTCCAAAATCACCACACGCTTCCGAAATTCCACGTGCAAAAGCACCCATACAAATACAGAAATTTAAAAAGCAAAGAAATAAGCAAAAAAGGTGGCGTTAGTGTCGGTAGCACATACACTGGAAATTGGAAGGATTGTGTGTGTGTGTGTGTGTGTGCGTGTGTAGAGCCCAGAAGCTAACTCACCAACCTCCAAGGTTGTCCCCTTAAAAGCTATCTACCTGAAACCCACTCGATAGCCTATGCTGGCTTTGACCCTGACGCAACCTTCCTGCCTCAGTCTCTCATATGCCACCGTGTTTATCATAAAATTTTAAAAATTGACTCCCAGTGGAAAAACTATTTAAGAAAAGGGAGTCTGTTTGTTTTGCAAAAGGGCTTCTTCCTTTCTTTTTGCATGACCTGCTTTTATTATTTACGTGTGCCACGTGTGTGTGGGCCCTCTGGGAAGTCAGGACACTGCGGTCTCCCCGGAGCAGGACTTACAGGATGCTGGGAACCGAACTCCTGGCCTCTGGAAGCAGCGCAGCAAGCCCTCTTGCCGAACCAGGTCTCCAGCCCCGGCTTCTTTGTTGTGCTTTTTAAGGAAGCAAACAGCATCAACAGCTTTTCTTACTGTGTGAAGAAGATACGGAGAGGAAACAGTTGGCGCTCAAACTTCCTTAGCTGCAGCGGAGCCGCCCCGCCACGGCCCCGACTGCGGGGTCCGGCAAGCCCGAAGGACCGCGTCCATCACGACGACGCCCCGCCCCAGGCATCTGGAGCACCAATCATCAGCGCGCAGGGCGGACGCGGGGGCGGGGCCTGCTGTTGCCCCAGCAACAACCGGGGCACCCGAGGAGAGCGCGGCTGCGGAGGCGTCTACCTCGGGGCTCCCTCCGCGCGGAAGCACCCGGGCGAGGCGAGAGCGTGTCGCGGCCGGCGCCTGCGAAGAGGAAGAGGCCAGGCCCACGAGCCGCCGTCCCCGCGGCGGACTTCGCTTTAACGGCCGAGTACGCGGAGGTGGGAAACACGCATGCGCCACGCCCGGGGGCGGAGCTAACGCGTCCCCGCACCCGAGGCGCAAGCGCCCCAGGCAGCTCGGCCGCGACGGGGCGGGGCCTCGGGCGTGGGGGCGGGGCCACGGTCCTGGGGCGGGGCCTCCCAGGGGTCCGAACCTTGGTTGCCGTCTGCAGGCTCTCCGCGTCTCTGGGTGTCTTCCCCGTTTTTGTTGGGCTTCTCTGGGGTGGTGGCTTGTGTCCGTGAAGACAGCACTGTCATTGGTGGACTTAGTGTGGAATCGCGGCGCTCTTTTCAGTTGAGGCGCTTCAGTTTTCCCAGCTATCTGAGGGAAATAATAATACTCGTACCTCATAGGGTTGAGATTGAATGTTTCCCCTCCTAGAGCCATGGCTGAAGTGCACGTGATCGGGCAGATCCTAGGGGCCACCGGTTTCTCTGAAAGCAGCCTTTTCTGCAAGTGGGGCGTTCACACAGGTACCTTCCTCAGGCCTGCTTCATTTCCCAACCCAAACCCAGTCCCCAGCCTACAGCTCCGCAGCTCCGCGTCCTTTCCCCAACTCTGCAGGGAACTGCTGGCTCGGGCCATACTGTCTGCTTTTTTTTTTTTTCTTTCTTTCTTATTTTTTTAATCCTTTCCTTTCAGATTACCCCACCCACTGAAAACACAGCCCCTCAGGATACGGGGCTGCGAGATAGAACACACACACTTAGTCCTCAGGCCAGAAGCAAAGCTGACCCGGGAGGTCTTACAGTTCGGGGATAGCCTGAGCTACATGGCAAGAGACCCTGCCTCAGCGAGAAGAAAGTAATGACCAGGTCATTTTAAGTGTTAGGAAGAGAAGAAACAGTGGTGTAACAGGGATCGATTGGGATAGGGAGGTGAGAGATCAGAGAAAGCCTTTCTGTGCAAGTGGTGCCTGAATCGGGCAGAGGACGAAAAGGCCAGAAATAGGTCATCCAGGCAGAAAGTGCAGCCACTGCCAAGAGGCAAGGGAGCAGGAATGGGACCAGCGAGGCTTGAGGGTGGCAGATGAGATCAGGGGAGTGTGTTGATGGTGAGGGGTCCGAAAGCTGGGCGGGGGTGGGTGGGACTTAGCATCTGCCATTGAACACTCAGTGCTTGCACACTGTTCTTGTTACTCCTCCTTGGGGCCAGGATGTGTTCTCTGGTGGCACCCTGTCTCTAGCCTTTAAACCACGCCTCTTAATGTGGGGGTATTGGGAATCTCATCACTTGGCAAGCATAGTCAGGAGGACCAGAAGCTCAGTCCTTCTTAGCCACATAAGAGGTCTGAGGCTAGCTTTGGCTACATGAAACCTTGTCTCAAAAAGGGAGGATATTGGTGCTTGGAATATAGCTTATCAGTAAAACATGCACCCAGTACACACAAGGTTCTGGATCACTCCCCAGCAGCGTGCATGAAGATTAACAGATGAATAATATATTAAAAATTAATAGTCCAGCCCAGCGTGGTGGGCTGTGATCCCAGCACTTGGGGGGCAGAGGCAGGCAGAGCTCTGTAAATTCAAGGCCAGCCTGGTCTACAAAGTGAGTCCAGGACAGCCAGGGCCACACAGAGAAACCCTGTCTGGAAAAATAAACAAAAATTAATGCTCCACACTTGGTATGGATCCTCTGAAAAACTGTGAGAGTGTGTTATTTGTCACTTGCTGTGTAGACAGGGAAACACAGAGAAAAAGAATTTGCCTAAAGCCGAGCAGACAGAAGAAGGGAGGACTAGGGCCTGGGAACTGCAGCTTGTTGCTAGAGAGCTCCTGCATATTTAGTGCTCTGGGTTCCACCCCAACACTGCAAAATGTAAAATACAGAAGTGAGCAGTGCCAGGAGTTACTTGTTTGTTTGATTGATTGATTTTGTTTATTTGTTTTGGTCCCTGGCTGTCCTGGGAACTTGCTCTGCAGACCAGGCTGGCCTCAGACTCAGAGGTCGGCCTGCTTGTGCCTGCCGAGTGCTAAGACTAGCGGTGTGCACCACCATCACCAGGGTTTATCCTCTCTCACATGCTCTTCATCTCCCCCAGTTTTCCTTTAGAGACGGGGACCCACACTGTAGCCCCTGCTGACCTGAAACCCGTCAGGCAGCCCAGCAAAGCCTCAGACTCCCAAGTGCTGAGACTTCAGCTATACACGCTCTAGTGCCAAGATCTGAGTCCAGATGTTCGGCTTCGGGGTCTGCACTGGGTGACCCCCTCCCAGACGCCCGGGAAGCCCCCGTGTAGCCGCAGTAGGTCCTCTTCTGAAGACTGCTGCTCACCTCCGGCCCTGTCCATCCTGGCTCTCCTTACAGGGGCTGCATGGAAGCTCCTGTCGGGTGTACGGGAAGGCCAAACCCAAGTAGACACACCGCAGATAGGCGACATGGCTTACTGGTCCCACCCTATTGACCTGCACTTCGCTACCAAAGGTCTCCAAGGTGGGTACAGACGGAGGGGTGGGGCCAGTCAAACCAGAAAGAGCTGGCGTTGGAATGCCATGGCTGCCCCTGCTCCCCATGCTTTAAAGTAAGCCCCTTTCCTGGCTCAGCCTCCTCTAGTGGGGTGGATTTGCGGCCTGACCTGAGCTATAGAAAAGCCTAGGCCTGTGGAATGTGACACAGGTTGGGGTAGGGGGGATATCAGAAAGTGGGGGTCAAGTGGGAGGGGACACTGCCTTCCAGTAAAGGCATGGAGGAGGCTGGAAAGAGCGTTAGGTGGGGTGTGGGAGGGGGTGGGGATGGGCCAGTTGCTGGTGCTCACACAGGCAGAGGCCCTGCTAAAAGGGGAAGTGAGTATGTGAGGCCAGAGGGTATCGGATCAGCGCAGCTTTTATGTTAAAAAAGCAGCAGATTCCGGGAAAGGGCCTGCACACTGCTGCCCAGCCTGTGCTGCCCAGCAGGGACACCCCAGTTTAGACAGGACCCGCCAAGCCCTGTCTTCAGGGGTTCTACTCTATGTATAAGTAGACCTGTTTCCAGATGGGACTAGCACAGAGGCCACAGGAACTTAGAAGTCTGCTCTGCTTGGTCATAGACCCGAAAGGGCAGAGCTGTTAGAGATCGGTGGAAGGCCAGGGAAGCTAAGTGGGCCTAAAGACAAAGATAGAAGTGGGGTGGAGGCAGAGAGCCAGAGCCAGGTACCTGATTACCGTAGAGGGGAATGGGGATGAGGCTGTAGGGATCAGAATGGACAGCCTTGGTTGCAAAGGACCTACAACCATCTCTGAAGGGCCTAGGGGCCCGGGAAGAAATGGATGGATCTGACTTTGCTTCTCAACAATCCTACTGGTTTCTGTGTGGGTGATAATGTTGGAGGCTGAGGCGGAGAAATCAACCTTCGCCTCTTCAGTCCTGACCTCAGGCTGACTTCCTCCTTGATTTCATCTTAGTCTCTTGTTCTGCTCACAGTAAACCCTGCTGGCTCTAAAAGCCCACTTGACATACATCCTGACTTCTGTTTCTCTTCCCGCCCTGCACCTGCCCTGCCCATCTCTACCCCCTAGACCATTCTTGCGGCACTTTCTTTCAGTCTTTCCTGTGCTCCCAGCCCTTGGCACCCTGCAGGACCCTGGGAGGACCTACATCTGACAATGCTCTTCCTCTGTACAGAACCTTCCAGGAGTTCTGTCCCTCAGGGTAGAAGCTGGAGGTTTTCCTGGCCGCACATGGCCCTGTGGAATCTGGTTGTCACCTCTGACCTTTCTCCCCATGAGTCCCCATTCTGGCCACATGGCCCCAGGCTAGCCCCTCCTCCAGAACGCTGCGCTGGCTGTGGCCTCTCACCCTAGGTGCTTAGATGGCCCGCTCCTGTGAGCGTTCATATACATGTTGCTGCGTCCTGCTTGGTTTGTTTGCCTTTGAGAGAGTCTCAGAACTCAGTCCCGGCCAGTGTGGAGCCTCAGAATCCCAAGCGGGCCCCAGAACGTCACCCTTCCGTAAGTTCTTTCTTTCCAGCCCTGGTTGCTCTAGAAGTCCTTGTGCAGGCCAGGCTAGCCTTGAACTTCAGGGAATCCTCCTGCTGGCATTACAGCTGAACACCACCCTGGTCCTCTACCCCTGTGTCACCTTTGGTAAAGCTTCCTTTATCCCTGCTTTCCCAAGCTGCATCCCCACCCTCCCTCCCTGGCGTTGTTTTCCGCCAGAGCAGTTATCACCATCTGACACACCCTGTCATTTACTTATTTACTACGCTGCTTGTCTAGGATGGCAGCTCCAGGGGCAGGAATTTTTGTCTGCTGTGTTCATTGCTGTGTCCCCAGCTTCTTGGAGATGGGCCGCATCTCCAAGCATGGTAACTGGTGTGCTTTGAGGACACTAGGAACCCACCAAGGGGAGAGAGGATCACACTGAGGTAGAAGGGGAACTGAGTCAGGTGAGGGAGAGGGCAGCTCGGAAGGGGTCCAGGCAGAGGTCCCGACCTGGGGGAGCAGTGGGTTCCGCTCACAGGGAGAGGACACCACAGAGGGGGTCAGCAGAGGCCAGGCTTTAAGTGATTTCCACACTCAAGAGGTAGGATTGTGTACGGTGGCCAGAGGCGCCATGGAAGGGTTTGGAGCAGGAGGGTAATGTAGGTGTCCATGGATCCCTGTGGCCACTGTGCGTCACGGATGGGGTGGGAACCCAGGGAGGAAATTAAGGCAGTAATCACAGGCAAAGGGACCGGGCCAAGGAGGTGGGAAGCCAGGAGCAGGTGTCTGCCTCTGCTCAGCTCATTGTCCTTCCTTTCTCTGTCCACTCCTGTCCTGCAGGCTGGCCTCGACTCCATCTCCAGGTGTGGTCCCAGGACAGCTTTGGCCGATGCCAGCTTGCTGGCTATGGCTTTTGCCACGTGCCTAGCAGCCCAGGCACTCACCGGCTGGACTGCCCTACGTGGAGGCCCCTGGGCAGCTGGCGGGAGCAGCTGGCGCGGGCCTTCGTGGGCGGCGGGCCGCAGCTGCTGCACGCGGACACCATCTACAGCGGCGCCGACCGCTACCGGCTGCACACGGCCGCCGGTGGCACGGTGCACCTTACTCTCGGCCTGCTGCTGCGTCACTTTGATCGCTATGGTGTGGAGTGTTGAGGGACTTCACCGCCACGAACCCCCACCACCCTCCGCCCTGGGCACTCTGAGCACAGGGTGGCACAGCAGTCACAACGTGGACTCTGGAGACTGTCAGTCCTGACCTCACCCAAGTCGTGACCCCTTGTCCTACCTAGGACTGCAAGGCCTACTCCCTGAGGCCCGTGCTCCACGGCACCGCCGGGGCGTGAGCCTGTGGGTTACAGGGACTCGGGAAGCAGCGGCTGTTTGGCGTGTGGGGGCACTTGATAAAGGCGGGCATGTCGCATGGGCGTGTGATTCCTTGTACCCATGCGGCGCTCAGGTGTCTGTCTTCTTGCTTCATCCTCCCTGACGCCTTCCTTGGCAGATCCAAAGCCCGTCCCTACCTCCCGCTCTCTGCTCCTTAGGTCCCTTCCTCTGGGACCCTATTTTCTCACCAAGTCCCCATTTTCCCACTGACCCTTCATCGACCCCCAAAGCCACGGGACGCCTGGGTCACCGTTTTGGTAGCGCTCGGCCGCCAGGAGGCAGCACTCGGAGGTGGGGCGGGGCCGGGGTGCCCGCCCCCTCCCCGCAGGGCTGAAGGGACCCCCCTCGGAGCCCGCCCACGCTGGATGAAGACAGTGCCCCCCCATGCCCTCCCCCTGGGGCTGCCCCCGCCCCGCGCGCGCTTCCTGGGTGGGGCCGGGGCGGCTTCAAAACCCCCGCCGCCCCAGCCGGTCCGCCGCCGCCGCCCTCCGCGCCCCAGGCCGTCCCCCTCCTCCTCCCGCCGCGGATCCTCCCGACAGCGCGGCCCCCGGCCGGGGCAGGGGGGACGCCCCTTCGGGGCACCCCCGGCTCTGAGCCGCCCGCCGAGCCGGCGAAGGAGCAGCCGAGGAGCCGTCCGAGGCCCCAGAGTCTGAGGCCAGCCGCCGCCGCCGCCACTGCGGGGAGGAGGGGGAGGAGGAGTGGGAGGAGGGACGAGCTGGTGGCGAGAAGAGGAAAAAGTTTTGAGACTTTTCCGCTGCTACTGCGAGCCGGAGACGCGGGGACCGCCTGGCGCTGCGCTGTCCCTCAAGGAGGCAGGACCGGGGGACCCCAGACCGCCCTGCTCACCGTCGCGGACGCTCGCCCGCTGCACGGCGTTCCCCGGACGCCCCATTCCGGACCAGCCCTCGGGAGCCGCGAGCCCCGCCTCCCGCGAAGACTTCGCCCCAAAGCTGGGGCGCACCCCTTCACGCCGCCCTCCCCCCAGCTTGCCTCCCGGGTCCCCCGCATCCCAGGACCCCGTCTCCCTCGGGAGGCCGAGCTCCCTCAGACCTGCTGGCAGTAGCCCCCCTATTTAAGAACACCCACTTTTTGGTCCCAGAGAGCACCCCTCTCGCCCTTTTCCCCCGGGTGGCACAGCGAGACGCCCTGTGTCAGAGCCTCGCCGCGACTCCCGCCGCCTTTTCCCTCGCCCTCGGAATTATCCCGGACTCTACCTTTCCTCGGAGACCACCCCCAGCCCTGCAGGGGCGGGGCCTCCGCGTCCCACCTTTGCCCGGGGCTCGCGCTCTCCGCGGTGCCGCGGGGCGCCGCCTCCCCCATGCCGCCCTCGGGGCTGCGGCTGCTGCCGCTTCTGCTCCCGCTCCCGTGGCTGCTGGTGCTGACGCCCGGGAGGCCAGCCGCGGGACTCTCCACCTGCAAGACGGTCGACATGGAGCTGGTGAAGCGGAAGCGCATCGAGGCCATCCGCGGCCAGATCCTGTCCAAACTGCGGCTCGCCAGCCCCCCGAGCCAGGGGGAGGTGCCGCCCGGCCCGCTGCCCGAGGCCGTGCTCGCCCTGTACAACAGCACCCGCGACCGGGTGGCCGGCGAGAGCGCGGACCCGGAGCCCGAGCCGGAGGCGGACTACTACGCCAAAGAGGTCACCCGCGTGCTAATGGTGGACCGCAACAACGGTGAGCTCGCGGGGCCGGGGAGCCGGGGAGGAGGCCCCAGGGGGCGCCGGCGGGGAGCCGGCTGGAGGAAGGGGACCCCTGGGGGCGCCGCGAACCAGCGTGTGGCGCCTGGTCCCTCCCCAGCTGTCAGGTCCTGGAGAGGAGGAGACGGTGAGCGAAAGGCGAGGTCGTGGGCAGGGCCCCCTCCGGGAGACGAGCTCGGCCAGGTTTTAATTCCCTCTCTGGTGCTTGAAAGTGCCGGGCTCCCTGGGCTCCCGAGGCGCCCCGTGTTTGGGAAAGAAGAGACACTGTGGAAAGCCGACCCTCGACGGTGAGATGGAGAGGAGAGATGCGAGGAGACAAAAACTGGGGGGATGAGAAGCCTAGAACCGCCAGTTAGACCCTCCTGTGGGCTCGACTCCGGGAGGCGCCGGGCGCGCTCCGGGCGCTCTGTGCTTCCACGGTGGGGTTGCCAGTGACAGGTCAACGGAGGAGGGGGCAGGAGGGAGAGGCGCGGAGAGGGTGCGGAAAGTGAGCCCGGAGGCGTCACGGGTGTTTTGCTTAGGGACGTAAAAGAGCTCGCGAGCGGGCAGGCGGAGCCCGGTGGAGGAAACGAGGAGTCCCCGAGAAATCTAGACCACCGGGTCCCTGGAGAGGAGTTAGAGAAGCGGGGGACCTGGCGTGGGAAGGCGGCCCCGCGAGGCGGGCGCGCGGGCGGGCAGGCGCGGCAGAGACACCGTGCCCTCCGGGCGTGAGCGGCGAGCGTCCCTCGCCTGGGCGTGGGAGGGAGCGGCAGAGCCCCGGAGTGGAGCCCTAGGGGAGCGGCCAGCGGTGGAGAGCCGAAACCCGAGAGAGAACAGCGGGTCGGTAAAAGTGAGGAAGCCCCACGTGGGTGCCACGCGCGTGGGGAGGAGCTTGCGCTTCCCGAGGGGGAAAGGGACCCCACGGCGCCGAACGCCGGCAGGCGGTACCCCGAGTCCCAGTTCCTCCTCCGGGAGGCCGGGGAAAACCCAGCGTCCGCTCTCCTCGCCCTCCTCCCTTCCCTTTCCTTCCCGTGCCCCGGGTGGGGGGGTGGGGGAGGCGGAGACCGCGCGCGGAGCCTGGGGCGAGACGAGGCAGGTCCCGATCCCGCCCTCCCTGGGCTGGCAGTCTCCCGCCCTCCGCACCCCGGCGCTGGGCGGGGACCCTCGCGGCCCCGCCCTGTCGGCGCCCACGCGGGACCCGGGCATCCTGTGCGTACTGTGTTTTAGATGTCGGTAGCCCCCTTAGGTTTCCTTCCCCGAAGGCGGACTTCAGGGTTCCTTCAGTGCTGTACCCAGCCGTGGCTTAGGCCTAATGACACCCTCCCCAGCCACTACTTACTGTGACCTTTTCGTTGGAGAGGCCCTTTCCTCTCCCCCAGACTGTAGTTCTTCATGCGCGCCTATCTCTTCCGGCAAGTGCCTCCCGCTTCCGCGTGTTTACCCCACACACCTATTCATCTCTGTGTCACTCCACCTCCCTCGACCCCGCGATCCTTCCTGCCCTCCTGTCTCCCCTATCTGCTACCCCCAGCTGAGAAGCCACCCTTCCATTGTGGTTTGCTGAGTAACAACTGGACCAGGAATAGGGCCCTAGGAAAAAGGAGGAGCAGTGAAGAGGTCGCCCGTCCTTCATCTGGGACACCACCTAATCCGCACTGCGGGAAGCTGAAAGCCCGAGTTGATGCAGGATTCCAGGATTCTACCCCTTCATCCCCAGCCCAGACATCCTTTAGCTGAGGAAGCCCTGTAGTGAGTGGGGTCCCCATCCTTCATTGAGGCATCCTTCCCCACCAACTGGCCTGGGAACTGGGCTAAAAGAGGAAGTAACTATTGACACCGATAATGCTGATGATGATAATACTGTCACAGGCCAGGAAGTAGCAGAGTTCAGGAATTAAGACCCTGAGAGATGGCTCAGCGGTTCAGAGCACTGACAGTTCTTTCAAAGGACCCAGGTTCGATTCCCAGCACCCACATGGCAGCTCACAACTGCCTGTAACTCCAGCTCTAGGGGCTCTGCACCCCTCACACACACACATACTACATAATGCATGCAAAGTACCTGTGCGCATAAGAGTAAGAAATAAACTACTTTTCTAAAAGGCCGGAGTCTGCCAGACAGAGCGGCCCATGACTAAACCCAGTGCTAGGGGGCAGAGGCAAAAGGATTATTTTAGACCATCGTTGGATACACAGTGTGTTTGAGAATAGCCTTAATGGTAGGATCCTGTCTCAGGAAACAAAATAAAATAATGCAAAAATGGCTCCCTGAAATCTTCCCATGTTGTGAGTCTCAATGTGCTTTGTGAAGCATTTTAAAAGGCATCTTTACCATCGGCCATAGTCCCCTCACACCCTTTAAACACACACGCACACACGCTCTCTGTGTATACAAGCAGGCTGACACCCACAGAAGATCTGCCTGACTCGGTCTCCTCAGTGCTGGCTGCAGAGCTGCACTGGCTAAATACACACTATTGATGTGGGCCTCACAAGGTTAGCCTTTGTCCCGTCGCGCGTGGGCTCCTGCAATCCTGGCATTGCATGTCATCTTACAGAAGAGAGAGATTGCTCACCACAGGGTTCACTGGGCTTCTGTTACAACTGCCAGGGTTGGGAGTCAGAACTTAAACGTACCACTGTTCGCTCAGAGATTTAACTGGAGACTGGCCAGCTGGTAGGGTGCCTTCCTCGAGCCCAGCAGAAGGGGCTGCTGAACCTGCCAGTTCCTGAGCCCTGGGAGTGGCTTAGGGCTGGAGCCCTCAAGGCTGGGATGGGGAGGGACACTTCCTGATCCCCAAAACTGTGTGCCTTACTCTGTAACTTTTTTTTGTTTGTTTGTTTTATTTGAGGCATGATCACCTGGTCCAGGTGGGCCTTGACAGCTGTATGCTTGAAGGGAGCTTGACTGGGGTAGTTCACGGGGTGGGTAGGTCTTCTCATAGAGGAAACAAAGCCAGAGGGCAGAAAACCTCCCCAAGGTCAGCCTGCTAAGGACATCAGGGTCAGGCCATGGCTCCGCAGTGAAGAGAGCTGGCTGCTCTTCCAGAACCCGCTTGGCAGCTCACAGCCACCTGTAACTCCAGTTCTAGGGGATCTGACACCCTCTTCTGGCCTCCACAGGCACCAGGCATTCGCTTCACACACACACACACACACACACACAGCCAAAATGCCCACATACATAAACAAAAATTAAAAGTTAAAAAAAATAATAGGGGCTCACACACTGAAGCACCAACCAAAGAGCATGTGTGGGACAGACCTGGCCCTACACATATGTGCAGCTTGGTCCTGATGAGCCTTCCTAGCAACGGGAGCAGGGGCTGTCTCTGCCTCTTGCCTGCCTTTGGATCTCTTTTCCCTAACTGAGCTGCCGTGTCAGGCCTCAGCAGGAGAAGGTGGGCTTAGTCTTACTGCATCTTTAGGTGCCATGTTGGGTTGATACACTTTGGAGGCCTCCTCTTCTCTGAGGAGAAAGAGAGGAGGTGGGGAAGAAGGGGACGGGGAGGGACTGGGAGGAGAGGAGGGAGGGGAAGCTTCCTTAGGCATGTGAAATCAATAAATTAATTAATGACATTAAAATAAAATATCGAAGTGGAATGCCATCCTGGGCCTCTCAGGGTCAGAGCCCACGGGCTCAGAATTGGGGTGCCTCTGCTCCTCCCACCCTTGTTGCATACCTGATGCCTTCTCTCTCTTTTCCTCCTCACCCAGCAATCTACGAGAAAACCAAAGACATCTCACACAGTGTATATATGTTCTTCAACACGTCAGACATCCGGGAAGCAGTGCCAGAGCCACCACTGCTGTCTCGGGCAGAGCTGCGCCTGCAGAGATTCAAGTCAAGTGTGGAGCAGCATGTGGAACTGTACCAGGTGAGGCTCTGGGCCTGAGGGGGCCACAGGCCACCGCTGTTGGGGTGTGGCCAGGTGGCTCAGCTTGTAGGCTACAGGGCCTGCACAGCCAGTCCAAGGGGGTCCGGTACAGAATGCCGAATTCTAGGGCTTTGGGTTTGTTTGGACTTTTCAAGACAGGAGTTTCATTGTGTGGTCCTGGCTGTCTGGGAACTCACTCGGTAGACCAGGCTGGCCTTGAACTCACAGAGACCCACCTGCCTCTGCCTCCCGAGCACTGCAATTAATGGCGTGTGCCACCATGCCCATTGGAGGGTTTTAAAAAAACTCGATGGCATTCTATTAACTGAATTAGGGGGCTGAGCTCTAAAAGTGAAGAAGGAGCCAGGGGGTGGATACTGTTTGTGTTCTTGCCTAGACTCCCCCGGTGAGGGGCTGGGGGTGGCTCAGTGGTGGAGCCCCTGGTTAGAATCCCCTGGTGAGGGGCTGGGGTGTAGCTCAGTGGTAGAGTCCCTGTCTAGAATCCCCCAGTGAGGGGCTGGGTGTGGCTCAGTGGTACAGCCCCTGGCTAGAATCCCCTGGTGAGGGGCTGGGGGTGGCTCGGGAGTGGAGCCCCTGCCTAGAATCCCCCGGTGAGGGGCTGGGGGGTGGCTCAGTGGTGGAGCCCCTGCCTAGAGTCCCCCGGTGAGGGGCTGGGGTGAAGCTCAGTGATGGAGCCCCTGCCTAGAATCCCCCAGTGAGGGGCTGGGGTGGCTCAGTGGCAGAGCCCCTGCCTAGACTCCCCCAGTGAGGGGCTGGGGTGTGGCTCAGGGGTGGAGCCCCTGCCTAGACTCCCCCAGTGAGGGGCTGAGGTGTGGCTCAGGGGTAGAGCCTTTGCCTAGAATTCCCCAGTGAGGGGCTGGGGTGTGGCTCAGAGGTAGAGCCCCTGCCTAGGAGCCCCTGCCTAGAATCCCCCGGTGAGGGGCTGGAGTGTGGCTCAGTGGTAGAGCCCCTGCCTACCCCCAGTGAGGAGCTGGGGTATAGCCTGGGGTACACTGATTGCCTAGCATGAGTAAAGCATTAGGTTCCATCCTCAGCACAGGAAAAAGGTAAGAGTGAGGAAGGAAAGGAAGTCAGAGTCTTTAGGAGCACAGACTTGGCAGTCCCAGTACTTGGGGGCCTGAGGCCGGAGATCAGGAGCCTGAGGCCATCCTGGGCTTCCTGAGACCCTGTCTCCAGGAAAGACAGTTGGATCTCCTACTGGGTTGGGCCCTCCAACCTGTCCACAAGCAGTGTGTCTCCCCTGGGGGACTGGAGAGTCGGCGAAGTGGTTAAGCACTTGTTGCTCTTGCAGAGGACTCAGGCTTAGTTCACAGCCCCCGTGTGGAGACGCAAAACCAGGGACTCTAGTTCTAGGGCGTCCGATACCCGTTCTGGCACGCATGGCGTTCGAGCACACACACACACACACACACACACACACTTGCAGACAGAGCACTCACACACATAAAGCAAAGATAAGTTCAAAACCTTTACGTGGAGGGGCTGAGAGTGTAAGCCAGTAGCGGCGTGCTCTCCCAGCTCCAGCCCCACCACCATAGAAGCAGGCAAAGGGCTGCACGCTTTCAGTCCCTGCGCTGGAAGGAGCAAAAGTTCAGGTCTACGTAGTGAGTTCTGGGCCGGCCAGGGCTACATGAGCGTGCGTGTGAGTGAGTGTGCGTGTGAGTGCGCGTGTAAGTGTGAGTGAGTGCGTGTGTGTGCGTGCGTGCATGCGTGTGTATACATTTTTTTAAATTTAGCCATGTGTGATTATATCTGTTAACCCAGCTTCTCTGGAGGCTGGGGCAGGAAGATCTCTTGAACCCAAGCATTCAAGTCCAGCCTAGACAGACAGTGAGACCTTGTCTCAGACCAAGAACTTAGGCATTTCAAATGCTCTCGTAGTCTCTTAGTCAGCATTGCCATTCTGGACTTCAAAAAGACATTTATTTTATTTTATTTCAGACAGGGTTTCTCTGTGTAGCCCTGGCTGTCCTGGATCTTGCATTGTAGACCAGGCTGGCCTCGAACTCAGAGATCCTCCTGTCTCTGCCTCCCTGAATGCTGGGATTAAAGGCCTGTACCTCTACTGCCAGGCTGGCATTTGGTGGCTCACTCCTTTAGTCCCAGCACTTGGGAGGCAGAGGCAGGAGGATCTCTGTGAGTTCAAGGCCAGCCTGGTCTATTCTATTAGCTCTAGAACAGCCAGGGCTACATAGAAGACCTTGGCCCCTCCCCCTCCAAGAAAATCGCTGTTGGGAAGAGTGTTCTGTACATGTAAACACAATAATAATTATAAATAAAACAAACTGTAAATAAAGAAACAAAAAAAAGTCACTCTCCCAAAGGCAGGGCGTCGAAACTGCTGAGCCGTCTGCTCAGTAATAGGAGCAACAATCAGCCACTTGCACTGTGGGCCCTGCCAGCTGCCACGGCTCAGCATCCCGCCTTGAAAAGGCAGGCCCAGAAAGTGAAAGAAGTACCCCAGCTTGCAGAGTCTAGGGCACAGGCTGAGGTGCCTCCTGGTGCCCTGATGACAGCCTAGGTGTTTGTGTCTGTGTGTCCCAGATCTGTGCTCCTGGGGTCTGTGTGTAAGGGTGTACTGACACAGCAGAAGCCAGTGTGTGGGGACGGGCAACGCGGGGCGCAGCCAGCGTGTCTGGGGCGTGATGGCCGCTATCCACTGCCCCTCACTTGGTTTGTTTGCATTCAGAAATACAGCAACAATTCCTGGCGTTACCTTGGTAACCGGCTGCTGACCCCCACCGACACGCCTGAGTGGTTGTCCTTTGACGTCACTGGAGTTGTAAGGCAGTGGCTGAACCAAGGAGGTGAGACTGTTTGCCTGTGCTGTCCTCCAGTGGGGGCAGCACTGTTTGTCCTGGCATCCGTGGCCGGCACGCTGCCCCTGCCTCCCCTCATGCTGATATCAAACCTCACTCCATAATTCTCCCTGATGGATTGATCCATCAGTGATTCCTGAACTCTGCCGAGTGATCCTCGGGTCCCAGCAGTGACCCAAACAGTCCGTACGTTTGCCCTCGATAGGCCCTGTGGTCCTTCAGCTGGTTGAAGGGGGAACCGACTTGAAGCTAGGTGGTGAGGATTCAGCGGAAAGGGCTGGAGTTGAGCACTCAGGAGGCAGCTAACTGTCTGGATTCAAGGAGGGCTTCCTGCAGGAGAGGGCCTCTCAGTAATGCCTGAGATGAATAAAAGCAACCAGGAAAGGGAGATACAAGAGGATTCTGTACCAAGGCTCTTCGGCCAGGAAGAGCCTGACCTGGCCGTCTGTCTGGGATGGAAGAGTCTTTCCTGTCCCCTGTGAGGCCTTGTCGGAGCCCTAGTAGGTAGTGATGCCCTGGAACGATGAAGGCCATCAGGGGAGACCCACAGAGGAGGCAGGGCCTAAGTGAGGGAAGCCTGAGGTGCTGTGGAAATTCGGGCTCCAAGAGGGCTTCCTGGGTGACTGTGAGCGGGGAGACTCTGAGATGCGCAGGTTAGCCATGTGGACAATGGGCCTGCACGGCACAGCGAGGAACGCTGAAAGCCATGGGACAGAGGTCAGCAAGAGCCTGAAGCTCCCGGTGCAGGGTCTGGTATAGAGTAGGTGTTTAGACAGTACCCATCTCCCTTTCGTGGGATGGCTCAGGCAAAGGCATCTGCTGCCAAGATTAATGGCCCCAGTTCCATCCCCAGGACCCAGGTGGTAAAAGGAGAGAACCAACTTGCACAGGTCGACCTCTGACCTCCCTGCACACCCTGGCACACGTGTATACCCACCCCATCCCTGCACACACTGAATAAATAAAATGGGAAAAATGGCCAGGTGAACAGCTCACTATTAACTGTAATGGCCAGATTACAGTTTACCGTTGTAGGGTAGGCGAGTGCTCCGCTCAGTTTTGCACGCCTTTGCCAGGCCCCTGTGTGGCTTTGGCCAAGTCACTTCCTTTTCCTAGGACTTAGTTTCCTGGCCTGTAAAGCTGAGGAGTTGGAAGACTGAAGGACTTAACGCAGAGTTCAGACCAGGGCCGGGCACCCGAATTAGCTCTTACCCTATGTACCTGGTCCTTGGCACCTGGATCACAGCGGATGTTTATTTCTTCTGGACTGAGGACCAGGCCATACAGAGCACAAAGAAAGTAGAAACCCAGGACAGCAGGCACGATGATACACAGGCTGCTAAGCCTGCACTTGGGAGGCGGGGGCAAGAGGGTCAGGAGTTCAAGGGTGTTCTTAGCTCCAAAATGAGTTTGAGAATTTGCAGCAGCCTGGGCTACATGAGACCCTATCTAAAAAGAAAAAGAGGGCTGCAGAGATGGGTCAGTGGGCAAGAGCTCTCATTTGGCATGCATGAGGACCCGAGTTCTAATCCCCAGCACCCATATAATTAGTCAGGCACAGACACAGCGTATGCCTGTAACCCCAGCCTTTTTGCCATGTGTGTGGAAACAGGCAGGCACACAGCTCTGTAACCTGCTAGCGGGGCCAGAGGAGCAGCAGGCTCAAGTTCAGAGATCTGTCTTGTGGGCATAGGGGAAAAGCCATAGGGAAAGACGGCCAGCTATGGCCTCTTTCTGTGTCACAAATGGCATACCACAGTCTCCTAGCTGAATACTATGCATATATACAGAATTTCCGAAAAATGCAAAGTGAAAGGAAAGGCTGAGGAAGGATGCCTCCCCTGTGTGTGTTTTTCTGCGGAGAACAATGAAAGACGTAAATAGTCAGGCAGAAATGTCAGAGGCCCCCCTGCTCCCGCTCCCCGCCTTCCTTGAGAAGCTGAAGGGATCCCGCAGTGGGAGAGGCATGTGTCTCCTTCAGAGCTTCTGCCCTGAGTAAGGGGGAGAAGGGGCCAGCAGCTCAGAGAACAGCGGCAGGAGTGGAGGGTGTGTGGGGTGACACAGGAAGGCGCCCCTGGGCTCGGCAGCTTCCTGCCTCCTCCCTCAAGCCGCATGAGTCATAACCTCAGGCTCCTGTCCTCTCCCACAGACGGCATACAGGGCTTTCGCTTCAGCGCTCACTGTTCCTGTGACAGTAAGGACAATGTGCTCCACGTGGAAATCAATGGTGAGCCCACTTCCCAGGCCCAGCTGGACGCCCGGCACGGTCTGTGTGCCGGCCTGGGAAACCGTTTGCCCCTTGCTCGACCCTCCGTCCCTCTAAGTGTGTGTATGTCCTTCACTGCAACGTCTGAACCCCAAACAGGGATCAGCCCCAAACGTCGAGGTGACCTGGGCCCCATTCATGACATGAACCGACCCTTCCTGCTCCTCATGGCCACCCCGCTGGAAAGGGCCCAGCACCTCCACAGCTCCAGGCACCGGAGAGCCCTGGACACCAATTACTGCTTCAGGTAAACTGTCCTCCTCGGAGACTGCCTGGGCTGGGCCTTAACGCAGCCAGCGGGCTGCTGGGCCAGCGTTGACACCTAGCCAGCCTGAGCCTGGAAGGCCAGGGGACAGCTGGCTCTGTGGGCAGCTGAGGGCCCTGGAATGTGAGGTGGATTCTTGCTGGAGTGTTGCGCCCGATCAGAGACTTCCAGGAGGTTGGCATGAGCGTCTGAAGGCTGTGTAGGAAGGTTGTCTTGGGTTTTATGTTCTTGCTAGCTGGGCTTCGGGCTGTGATGAGTCTAACGAGAGAAGAATTTAACGTGAGCAGTTGAGAGTGTTGACCCCAGTTGAAAATGGAAACGTAGGGGTCCTAACGTTTTGGTTCGGAAGGTGGTGTGCTTTGGGGTTCCCACACTCTCCGTAGACTGTGGTCTCCAGGGCTGGTAGGTGGGAGCGGGGAGAGCTGGGCTCAGAATGGATGGCGGGATCTGGTTGGAGATGTTAGTTAGCATCCAGGACAGCTAGGCCGCGTCTCCTGAGGGTCATGGAGTTTGATGTGGTGCTGCTGCCTGGGGACGTTGGGAGTCGGAACCTCCCTAGACACTGGCTTAGAAGTGTGCATTGTTGGCTACAGGACTCTGGGGAACCAGGTTCCTCAAGGGTTGGGAAGTAGGGATTGTGGATTGTCCGGAATGGCTGTCTGAATGGCAGATGCCTTTGGATTCTTGTGTGAAGGTCAGGGGGCAGTCTTTGGAGTCAGGTCTCTCCTTCCACGGTGTGGGTCCTGGGAATTGAACATGGGTGTCAGGATTGGCAGCAAGCACCTTGACCCACCGAGCCAACTTGTCAGGCCTGTGTTGTTTTGTTGTTTGAGACAGTGCTGTGCTGTATGGTCCAGCCTGGCTTTGGATTCACTTCTTTAGCCCAGGCTGGCTCGAGTTCTCTGTCCTGGGATGTACAACCACCCAGTTCCTGAACGGTGGACTCCTAGGAAGGCTGGGCACTGCGGGAAAACGGAAGTGGTGTGAGATCCAGGAGTAGAGTGTCGAGCTGGCCTGTCCCTCCCTGCTTCACACTGGGAGTGCTGTGTTGCATGTTGGTCCTTGGTTAACCCTCCTCCTCCCCCTGCATCCTTTCCTTTTGCTGTCCACCCTCACGTGGGAACAGATGGAGGTTCTGAGCACCACCGCTTACTTACTAAGAGATGCAGGCTGCTGTGCGAGCTCTGTTCCCCCAATGCTGGGAAGTGAACCTGGAGAATTGTGAAAATTCCTCCTCCCTTCCCCCTGCAAATCCAAACTCTGGTCTGCATGCTTGCTTGCATAGCAGCTGCTTGACTCACTGAGCCATGTCCCTGGCTGTGGCAAGCAAAATTCTGCATGGAGGAACACCGTTTCATCTAGGAAGGCCTGTTAGATAGATCAACCGTAATCTGCTGGGGACTGTAGCTCCATGTTCCCGGGAGCAGAGAGACAGGTGAGCAGCATGAACCAGCGTCCCAGGGACCCACCCAGCCAGTCACAGATCTTGCGAAACCAAGTCAGTTTCCCCACAGACAGTGTGTAGAAGGGAACGGTATAGAATGAACAGCACTGGGGGAAGAGAGAGAGGTGGAGAGGTAGAAGAGGATTCAGAAAGGAAAAATGATGTGCATGGGACATTTTGGAAAATACTCTGAGAAGTATTTTAATTTAGTCAGTAACTTAAATTCTTTCCTAGGATTTTGTTGTTGTCTTTGGTACTGCTTTTGTGGTACTGAGGAGGGAAACCAGCACCTCATACATGGTAGGGAAGCACTCTACCACAGATCCACGATGTAACCCCTCACTGGGGGACTCTAGGCAGGGGCTCTACCACAGATCCACACCCCAGCCCCTTACTGGGGGATTCCAGGCAGGGGCTCTACCACAGATCCATGATGTAGCCCCTCACTGGGGGATTCTAGGCAGGGGCTCTACCCCTGAGCCACACCCCAGCCCCTCACTGGGGAATTCTAGGCAGCCGGGGGATTCTAGGCAGGGGCTCCACCACTGAGTCTCACCCCAGCCCCTCACTGGGACACTCTAGGCAGGGGCTCTACCACTGAGCCACACCCCAGCCCTTCACTGGGACACTCTAGGCAGGGGCTCTACCCCTGAGCCACACCCCAGCCCCTCATTGGGGGATTCCAGGCAGGGCTCTACCACTGAGCCACACCCCAGCCCCTCACTGGGACACTCTAGGCAGGGGCTCTACCCCTGAGCCACACCCCAGCCCCTCACTGGGACAATCTAGGCAGGGGCTCTACCCCTGAGCCACACCCCAGCCCCTCACTGGGGGATTCTAGGCAGGGGCTC